CCAGGCTTTCATGCGTGCTCAGTATGTATTCTACCAGTATGTACTCTACCATTCAGCCTGATCATTCACATATGTGCACATATGTGTGAGGGTTTTTATAGCCTGACAGAATAACCAAAAAAAAAAAAAAAAAAAAAAAGGGAGGTGGGAGGAAAGTGTGAGTCAAACGGAATGGCGGTTTTCATTCTCACAACTATACTGGCAGGGTTTTTCTTTCCTTCTTGAGACAGGGCCTTGCTAAATCACCTTAAGTGTGTGATCCTCTGATCCACACCCCGAAGCAGCTGGAATTACAGGTATGCACCGCTGCACACAGCTGTCTATTTATTTCTAATAGGGTAGAAGGAAGCGACAGTCTGCTCACCAGAGCCCGGCTGTCCACCTCCGACACGTGGGCCCGCATCATCTCCCACTTTCCTACTTCGATGGGTGTGAAATGCTGTCCCATGGGCTTTCTTCAGTTGCCTGATAAGGGATCAGGTGCATTTTTTTTTGAATATTTATTTGTCACTCAGAAATCATCTAGAAATTACCTTCCCCCCTCTTTCCTGTTGTTTCATATTTATTATTAATTTGTAGGAATTTCATGATGAATTTGTGCACCTAGTCAATAAACATTTCTTCCCCCGCCCTCGACTGTTTTTTTTATTTTATGCGTATGGATGTTTTCTCTGCATGTATGTCTGTGCATCATGTGTGTGTGCCTGGTGTCTGCCGAGACCAGAAGAGGGCACTGGATACCATGAATGTGAAATTACAGATGGCTGTGAGTCACCACGTGAATGCTGGGAACTGAACCCAAATCCTCGGAAAGAACAGCCAGTCTCTGAATCGCCGAGCTGTCACTTCAGCCTTTCGTCATTTCTTCTCTGTGGAGACTTTAAGCTCCTCCTCTGTTTCTTCGCAAATATATCATCAGGCTGTTATGACAACAGTCACCGTGCTGGGCTGTAGAACATTAGAACCTATGACTCCTTTCAGTCTGTTTGGAACGTGATGCCTGACCTATGGTCCCTCTACTCTACCCCTTCTGGCTTCTTTTTAATCACTGTTTTCTTTGTTGTGTTGGCTATTCATGATGACTCAAGCTGTGGGGGAATCTTTTCCTGCTGTGGACAAACCCTCGAGGCAGGAAGGTGACCCGGCCCTTGCCTGAAGAGCTCCAGAAGCCAGACTTCTCCTCCGGACCTCTCTAACATAACTGTGTTTCCAGCCTCTGTAACTGTCACATAGGTCATCTCCAGCCCTGCAAAAGAACCCTTCCCAGTTATGAAGGGTCTGAATAAAAAGCCACCAATCCCTGAGCATGAAAACCCGCCAAACCCCGAGCTTCCCACAAAATCCCACCAATCTCTGAACAAGAAAACTAACCAACCACTGAGGTCCCCCAAGCACAGGACTTGAAATCCCCTCATCATCACCCTGGAAAGCTCCAGCCAGCTAAGAAATCCTCTACAAAGGCTGTGTCTGCTCTGTTCCCTGCTGTCCTCGCCCTGGAGCAGAGGCAGCCAACCCTGAATTCGTTCCTCCAATACATCTTTTTTTTTTTGAGATTTGCTGCCTGGTGTGACTCACTCGTCAAAAGAAGTCTAAGAAGCAAGGAGGAGAAGAACGGAAGAAATGAAGAAATGGGGGGTTGAGCCCCCTTCCCTTGGAGCTGCAATGCCTCTGCCGAGGAGGCTTCCCCTCAGAGCTGTGTGGTTCCTGGGCTCCTGTGTGTCTCGGGATACTGGGATACCTTCTCTCCTCAGAGCTGTGTGGTTCCTGGGCTTCCGGGTCCCGCAACACCTCTCTACCTGAACAGGAAGGCCAACGTGTTAAGATCAACGTTTAAGCTCCTGCCTGTGCAAGCAGCATGCAGTGCCAGGCCATGGTATCTCCTGCTACGCTGAGGTATCCAGTCACCCCAAAGACAGATTCTCCTACCATAATCAGTTTTCTCATCATTTATTTATTGAGTAGTTTGCTCTTCCATCGATATTTTTTTAATTTCTTTTTTTATTTTTTCCTTTGGTTTTTTTTTTTTTTTTTTAAGATTATTATGTACAGTGTTCTGCCTGCGTGTACACGTGCTTACCAGTAGAGGGCACCAGATCTCATGGTTGTGAGCCATGGTGTGGTTGTTCTGAACTCAGAACCTTTGGAAGAACTGCCAGTGCTCTTAACCTCTGAGTCATCTCTCCAGCCCTCTTTTTTATTTTGTGTTAGGGTCTCTTTATGTAGTTCTAGCTGTCCTGGAGGTCTCTGCATAGATCAGGCCTCAAACTCACAGGGACCCACCTGTCTCTGCTGGGATTAAATGAGTGCAGCACCATACCTGACCAAAATTTACTCCATATTTTCCAATGGCATATTTGAAACGCCAAGTCTACAAACATTCAAAGCCTGCTTTCTGGGGTCTTTTTCTGGTTTTGCTCACCAATTTGTCTGGCTCTATGCCAACATCATGCCATCTCAATTCAGTAACTTGATGGTACGTTGATACTGGCAGGTCAATCTTTTCAGGTTTTTCTACATCTTCAAGATGCCTTGTCCTTTTCTGCTTCAGGTTGAATTTTAACATTAGACTGTTTTGTTCCATAGAAAGTCATGTTTGACTTCCTTTTTATAATGTGCTTGAATTCATGGGTAAAATCTAAGGAAGAATTTACATCTTTTGACACCGACTCCTGCAATTTGTGAACCTGTCTGTGATCCTCTCCATTTCGGTGGTCTCTCTGTGTGCTTCTATGTGTGTTTCTCATGCTGTGTTGTGACTGGCACATTGCTTTATGATTAGGAGACGGATTTCAGTTTTCTTCACAATGAGTTTATCTAATTCCAAGTTACCTTTTTTTCAAAGATTTTTCTTACTGTGTGCACTAATCAGTGTGTGCAGGAACACACATGCATACTGCTACTAATAAGGACTTTTTTAAAAGTGAAAGAATAGATTTCTTGTTTTAATTAAAAAAAATCACAATTAGTCATGAATGCAGCAACTTTTCTGAACTTCCTCATTAGATTTACCAACACCCACTGTAAGGGACTTTCAGTTCCAGTTTTAAAGATTTTTTTTTTTTTTTGAGACAGGTCCCTCTACGTAACCCTGGCTGTTTTGGAACTCACTATGTAGACTAGGCTGGCATTGACTTCACAGAGATCCACCTACCTCTGCTTCCTGAGTGCTGGGATTTCTGCCTTTACTGAAGCCGCCACAGCCCTTAGTCAGAGCTTCGCACTCCATCAGTAAATTTAAGGTTGCTGTGTTTCCTTATGTTGTGGAGAGTCCTCAACTCTTTGTGTAAATAATTCTCATCAGTTTGACACCGATAGCATTGACACTGACTTACATAAACTTAAACTGATCTATATAATTATAATTTGACTATCCGTGATATCACAGTTTATGTTAATCCTCGAATGAGCACAAAACTCAAGTGCACAAGAGCCCATTACCTACAAGAGTTCACGCTGATGGCCATTGTAAAACAGAAATGAGAGTGTAAGTGGAAGCTGGTGATGGAACAGTCAGATGTTTAAGGACGCCAGTGGCTGTGAGGACAAGCATGCTAGGTCAGCATGTGCCACCTCTATTTCACTAAACTCAAAGAACAGGTATAGATAAACTACCACACATCACACACTATGCTCAGCATCACTGCTTACAGCAGATCTGCACCCTAAATCTAAACGCACTCGCCTCTGTGGACCAGAAGCACTTATGTCCAGCAGCTCACAACTGTCTAAAGCTCTATCTGGGACAGGGAGGTAGATGGCTGAACACAAAGGTGGCCTAAAGGCCTTACAAGTTGATAGACATATTCAGTTCATGAATGTAAATAACCATAATAAAAAACAGAGACAGAATTCAAGGACATACAGTAGGTACCATAGATCCCAGAGTAAAAAAGTAACTCAGGATGAAGAGGGATCAGAAAAAGAGATGGACTATTGATGTCCACACTGGCCAGCTGTCTTAACTTTTCTCCGTCATCAGTCACTTTGAAAACTCTTCTGGAATCTGCTTGAGTTATGATTTCTTTTCTTGCTGACCTTGCAAAAGCCCCCTTCAGCCTTTCCAATGAGATGCCATTGAGGTCTGTGTCTCAATCTCTGTGACTATATTATGCTACAAGGCAAGGACAAATTAAGATTGAAGGTTGGAGACTGGGCAGGTGGCTCAGAGGTTAAAGTGTTTACTACCATTCAATCAGGAGGACCTGAGCATGAGGACTAGAGTTGGGGTTCCCAGAACCCCAGCCAATGCCGCATGCCTATGGCATCAGCCTTGGAAGACAGACAGCTATCTCCAGAGCAAGACGGCTAGTGAGGCTTGCCATGCTGTGAGCTGTGGGTTTGATGAAAGCACCTGCCTCCTTGAGTAAAATGGAAGAGCAATGGAGGATGATTCCTGACCAACACACGCACACACACCAACATGCATGCACACTCATACATGCATCCACACTTGAAACATACACTGCACACACACACACACACAAAACGTCGGAAAAATGGAAGCCTGGCTTAAGGTTGCTCATCAGCTGACGCTGAGATGGGGAGATGTCCTGGATTGTCTGGGTGGTGTCCTTGTGATCACAATGAAGGACAGAGGTGACAGGGAAATGATAGAGAGTTTTGTTGGAGTGAGGCCTATGTGACCTGACCATCGCTGGCTTTGGACGGGGCTGTGGACGTGAGCCAAAGCATGCTGGCAGCATCTAGCAGATGGCAAAGGGAAGGAGACAGATTCTCTCCCACTTCTTCCAGAAGAACCTAGCCATGGAACACGGTGTTCGTAGACCGTGGGACTGATTTCTGACTAATAACCTTCAGGATTATTAGACAATAAGCTTGTGTTATTTCATGCTACCATATTTATGACAATTATTCATAGAAGCAATAAGAATTCATGCAAAGTGTACTGAAGGCAATCATGGAGACTCATGGGCACACACAGATGCATGTCAGTAACCATATTAAAAACACACAAAAGAAACAGGTGAAATTAAGCTTCAACAGTACTCTTTATTATACTAAATATGTCCTGATTATTGTCGCTTTAACATTTAAAATCTGCAAAAGATTACCAAAGAGCTCTTCAACATCAATTTTTTTTTTTTTTGCAAGTCCTTAAAACTCACGCAACCTTATACTTGCAGCAGCAGAGTCCAGCACATCTGCATTAATTTCAAGGGCTCAGTAACCTTCACGTGGTTGGTGTAGCGGCTGTATCAGGCAGTGCAATTAGAAGCAGAACAGACAGTGAGTGGAGCCTTGAGAGACACCTGCATTTGGGAGATAAAAGGAGGGAAAGGAGCCAGTGAAGGAGCTGATAGAGGCAGGAGGATAATCAGGAGACAGCACTGTGTCTAAGCTCCAAGCGTCTTTCCTAGGGAAGCACAGGGAAGAAGGTCATCACACACTTCACTCACCGTGAAGGATCCTTCGCTCTTGCATTTTCCTTAGCGTAGCTCTGCACTACACAACCACTTCCGTTTGCCTTGGCTTTAGGAGTCTCATGTATGGATCCAAATGTAAGTTCAGGGGCTCTACGGCAGGTGGCTGGGGATAACAGGGTGACTAAAGGAAAGAAGAAAGGAACAGTGAGGTGGTACGAAGTTGTCAGGGGGTGTGATGATTTAAAACAGGTGCCTGGGGGGAGTAAGATGGAGATCGGGTTACCATGACAACCGATTATTTCATCGGTTCAATGACCAGTTGCCATGGTGACAAAAAATCTTTGTGTCAGTGACATAGATCCCAAGGGAGAGGATGCCTGTGCAAAGGACCCCATGCTCATTGGTAAAGCTTTCACATCTGCAATAATTTCTGCATTGCTTGAAGTCTGTCTCACAGCTAACATGGGCATTCTCCTCCCCTGCCATGTGGTCACCACTTGCAAAATGTACACATTTTTCATGTTCTACATGACGTCTTTCCCCTTAATAGTCTTTAATTGTTTGGGTAATCTATCATTTTCTCTCAAAAGACATACTTCCCTTAAAGGTGGGGGTCATTCTTACAACTGAGCTGTAGTTTCCAAGGACTCAACATACTATGCTCACTATACAGTGAGCTAATACAGAGCGGGGGTGGGGGCCACTGGGAAGACACAGACCCCGGGAGCCAGCCAGATTTGGGTTGAGTATCTTCTCTGCCTCTGCCACCTGCCAGTTGTGTGGCCTTAGAAAAGTTTTGGTTTTTTTTTCCCCCCTGCTTTTTGAGACAGGGTTTCTCTCTGTAGCCTTGGCTATCCTGGACTTGCTCTGTAGACCAGACTGGCCTCGGACTCACAGCAATCTACCTGCCTTTGTTTCCCCCTCCCTGAGAAAGAGTCTCATTATGTAGTCTGGGTTTTCTGGAATTCACTCTGTAGACCAGGCTGGCTTCAAACTCATAAAGATACACCTGCCTCTGCCTCCCAAGTGAGGGGATTACAGGTATGAGCCACCATGCTTGGCTCCAGAAGTAACTTTTAATGTTAAAAAAAAAAAAAAAAAAAAAGATAGAGGACAAACCAATTTTCATGTATAGATCTTTTTTGAGTTTTGATTCAAACACATTTTAAGAAATGTGTAAAGTGACTGGATGTGTAAGTATTGGGAGGGATTATCAAAGGTACATCTTATGACAAATAGGATGACGTGGACCTATCAGCAATGTGGACAGGCTATACAGAAACTGACAGAAAATCTTTGCTAGCTGTACTTCAGACAGGGCGTCAGTAACCAGAATACATAAAGAACTGCATAACGTAATTTAAAAAAAAAAAACTGCCAATCCATAAATGAGCCACTGAATTTAATAGATACTTCTCCAAAAAGGGGATTCAAATGGCCAATAAATATTTTTAAAAGTGTTTAACATACCTAGAGTCATCTGGGAAGTGCAAACTAAGACCACTTTAAGATTCTAGTTTGTCCCAGTCAGAATTAGCTACCTCCAAGAAAACAAATTATAACAGAGAGTAGAGTAGATGTAGGCGAACCTTAATCCTTACTGTTGTAGAAGTATAGGTTGTAGGGAAATGAGAGTAGAGGTTTATCAAAATTTGCAAACCTGAAGCACTGTAGATCTACTAGATCTACTGACCCTGGGATATCTCTCTCTCTCTCTCTCTCTCTCTCTCTCTCTCTATATATATATATATATATATATATACTACCACAAGGGCATTTGCTCATCATTCAATCTATTGCAAGAAAAAGAAATCATCCTAGGTGTCCATAAACAAATGAATGGAAAGTGAAAAAGTGGGCCATATATTAAAAATTTATATTTACTTACAAAAAGAAAAGTATTATGAAAGTTTCAGGAAAATGGATTGAACCGGAAGATAGTATGTTAAGTGAGGTGAGCCAGCCAGGCATAGAAAGACACACACCACACACTTCCCCTCATCTCCAGGTCCTACCTTCCCCCTTTTACACATGTGTGTTTATGTGAGAGTGAGTGTGTGTAGTGGTCAGGGGAGTAGAAAGGGACCCATGAGTTAGAAAACACAGGGTTTGAGGAATCATTGTGAGGAGGAAAATAGAGCACATGTGAAATGAAGGTGGCAAAGGGACTCCTGGCAGAAGGGTACAAGTGGGAGGAGGGAGCGGGCTGGTGGAGGGAAGAGATGAAGGGGCAACCAAGGCTATGTATATATGAAATGCCACAAAGAAGAAAAGGATACTTTTATGCTAATTAAAATAAATGTATAAAAGTACACATCTTATAATTTATACGTGAGGCCCTAAAGAATACTAGGAAAACTAAGATACCGTTAACGCTTTCAGCGAAGCAGTAGGATATAAAATTAAGATATAAAAATCAGTAAACTTCCTGTATATAAGCATGCAGAGAAATTAAAAAGAAAAAAAAAAGAATTTCACTCAAAGTTGCAGAAAAAGTGAGGGAAGAGAGGAGGCAGTGGCTGTCGCCTGTCTTGGAATATACCTAACTAGAGAAGTAAACAGTCTCTAAAATAAAAACTTTGAAAGAAAAAGAGGAAGATACTAGAAGGTTGAAAGACCTTCTGTGCTCATGGTTAGAAAGAATTAATATTGTGAAAATAGGTAGCTTAACAATAGCAGTCTACAGGTTCAATACAGTCCCATCAAAATTTCAGCAGCACTTTCTCTTTTTCTTTCTTTCTTTCTTTCTTTCTTTCTTTCTTTCTTTCTTTCTTTCTTTCTTT